GATGCAACCGCGACATCGTGCACGTGCGGCGTTGGCGGGGCAAGAACAGACGACGTCCAGATGTTTCCATTCCGACTTTCTGGTCTGGTCACTGCTTCCAACGTCCGATGGTTTCGATGAACCACAATCAACGCTCGCTTGGCCCAGGCGGAGACTTCGTCAGCGTGATATGCAAGCCAGGATGCAGACGGTTCACTGGCCCGGGTTCCCGCTAACATACCCGCCTCTCGGGCCGCTACAACCTCATTGCGAGATTTCCCACCACTGATTGGTATGCAACCGCGCTGTATCATCCTTTGACTGCCTAATGTGCGCTTCGGAAGCTGCTCAACTGCCTTTTAGACTAGCTTCGGAGGTTCAGGTCCGCCATCACAGCTGTCCAACAAAGAGTAGGCGACGAATCAAGTTCCACGCTGCTTACCTCGAGAGACGAATGTCTCGCTGCGCGGCGTAGACTTGCATGTCTAGTCTACGTGTCACCTGCTCCTTCAACCTACTTGCGCGGGATGTCTGGTTCTTACTTGCTCAGAAAGCTGCAACGAGGTGGGGATCAAAGGATTGCTATCGTACCCTTCGCGTTACTCTCGGATTTCGCCACAAGAAGCCGTTGCAACGGATCTAGATTGAGATCACACATGAGCCTCCCTCCTGTCGACAGATCGAGACGGGCGCGTTAACTTCGGTTGATTGCCCCCGCCGACCAATAATACTTACCTTGTAGATCTGAGACGACGTGCCTGCGAGCCGTGACTAGGACAAGGCTTGTTTCCAATAGATCCGGTACTCGAGCGGTTTCTCTGGGTCCATGCGTCAAGAGACGGTCGCATCCAGCGCTGCGCAAGTACTAAAGGATGACAATCTACTTCGATTGACTGCCTCTGAATCTGCCAATTCTTCAGCTTATCCTCCCTCTCTCGTTCGCATCGTCGTCCAACACCTCGCTCGTTACCGCACCGGTTGCAGTGGCAAGAAGGCGCGGCAATTCGCTCGAACGCTCCGCATTTATCGAATGATCAATTCTGGTTGATCTGCAATGGCTACAATCAACCTTGGAAACGCTAGTCCGACGGAAGATATCAAACAGCACGACATAAAGCACGCGGCTATCCACATCCAACCAGTCACTCTCGTTACTCCTACGTTGACGCCTGCTGCGACTCCAGAGGAGGCTTCCCCGGCAGACGAAACGATGGCGGGCAAGAAGATATTCTCCATGGAGCGGCCGGACGACAAAGCGAGGGAACTTGCGGCGAAGCTGACTCTAGAGGAACAGGTATGTTCGTCTTTACTTCTGTGGCAGATATCTCGAATTTCGGCGTTCGATACGGTCATGTCGAATGACCGAGGCAGAAGGGGGTGTCAACTTCTATCCTACACGTCTTTCTGTTAGGGATACGAGTCATTCCCCAGCCACAATCCCTTATCTCAGCCCGTGTTTTGGAGCAGAAGGTCTAGAAGGATTGGTTCTCGAAAGTCGGTAATCAAAATGAATGGCTTTTCTGATCGCTTAGAATCCCACCTGACCTCGTTAATCTATTCGAGAGCCGAAGCAGCCTTAAGCGGAGCCGGGCTGACCATTCCAGATCTCACTACTTGCAGGAGCGGACTTCTGGCGGACTGTAGCCATACCCGAAAAGGGCATACCGTCAATCAAGACATCAGATGGACCCAATGGCGCTCGCGGAGAGTTCTTCACTAACGGCACACCTGTACGTACTCCGGCTTGGCACTGCTTGTCTTACGCTGACGAAGCTAGGCCGCTTTATTCCCATGCGGCATATCCATGGCTTCCACGTGGAACTTGGATATGATTGAGGAGATTGGCCGTCACCTCGGAGAAGAAGCAAAGGCTCGTGGTGCACACGTGTTGCTTGCGCCCACCGTGTGCATGCACCGGTCGCCTCTTGGTGGTCGCAACTTTGAATCGTATTCGGAAGATCCTTTCCTTACTGGAAAGCTTGCTGCATCGTATGTTCGCGGTCTTCAGAGCAAGGGTGTTGCAGCTACGATCAAACACTTTCTCGGAAACGAGCAAGAAACTGAGCGGCAAGCGTACGATGCTATCATTGCTGAACGGCCATTGCGTGAGATCTATCTGAAGCCCTTCGAGATAGCTGTTCGAGATGCATCACCCTGGGCGCTCATGAGCGCTTACAATATGATCAATGGCATTCACGCGGATGAGTACGAACACTCGATCAAAGAGATTCTACGAGGCGAGTGGAAGTGGAACGGAGCCATTATCTCCGACTGGACGGGCACATATGCGACCGCACCATCAATAAAAGCTGGTGTTGATGTTGAGATGCCCGGGCCGTCCAAATGGCGCAAGATCGACCAAGTGAAGGAATGTCTGGAGAAGGGTGAGCTCACCCGTGGTGATATCGAAGAATCCGCCGCCAGAGTACTTTATCTTGTCGATCGTGTCAAGGGACTGAACAACATGACACCAGAGGAGCCGGAGCAGTCGATCGACAACGTGGAGACGCGGAACCTGATTCTCCAGGCTGGTATCGAAGGGTTGACGCTCCTGAAGAACGAGAACAGCGTACTCCCCATCAAGAACGCGAAGAGGATTGCTATAATTGGGCCAAATGTCAAGCGAGCCATTGCCAGTGGAGGAGGAAGCGCAGGTCTCAACCCCTACTACAACGTCACACCTTGGCAAGGCCTTCAAAATCGATTCGACGGAGACATCACATTCGCCCAAGGCTGCGATAGCTCGAAATGGCTACCTCTTGCTTCGCCATACTGCCAGTCCAACGGCGAGACTGGTGTTCGGTTAGAATACTACAAGGGCGACAGGTTTAAGGGTGAGCCGGCAGTCGTTCAACACAAGGTCAGCACAGATCTGTGGCTGTGGGACTCTGCGCCAATGGAACTACTTCCAGACTTTTCCTTCAAAGTCAAGACCACACTCACACCGAAGACAACCGGAAACCACAGCTTCAGCTTTGCGTCCGTCGGGCCAGGGCGCATGTACATCAACGGCGACATTTTCATCGACAACTGGGACTGGATTCAGGAGGGTGAGGCTATGTTCTCTGCTTCAGAAGATGTGCTCAAGTCGATCCATCTTGAAGAGGGCAAACCTGTGGAGATTCTGATCGAGAGCACCAACGAAGTCCGACCCGCGTCTAAGGTTTCTATCATCGGCCGTCGCCACGACTACGGTGGCTGCCGAATCGGCTACCAAGAGGAGGACAAGATCGATCGTCTACAAGAAGCGGCGGATGCAGCGCGTGATGCTGATGTGGCTGTAGTAGTCGTTGGACTGGACGCCGAGTGGGAGTCGGAAGGATACGACAGGCAAACGATGGATCTCCCGAAGAATGGCTCGCAGGATCGTCTGATCGAAGCTGTTCTAGCTGCCAACCCACGCACCGTCATCGTCAACCAATCTGGAACACCGATTACCATGCCATGGGTACAGAAGGCACCGGCTATTCTTCAGGCATGGTACCAAGGTCAGGAAGCAGGAAATGCTCTTGCCGATGTGCTGCTCGGCAACAGCAGTCCCAGCGGGAAATTGCCAACGACCTTCCCTGTCCGGATCGAAGACAACCCAGCGTACCACAACTGGCCTGGTGAGAACTTGAAGACCGTCTACGGCGAGGGTATCTACGTGGGCTACAGGCATTATGAGCGCTCAAAGATTGCACCGCTGTTTGCGTTCGGTCACGGTCTTACCTACACCACATTCGAATACGGAATACCAGGCGCTAGCAGCACGGTACTGTCTGAGGATGGGAAGATTACTATCACCGTACCAGTCACAAACACAGGTTCATTTGCTGCACATGAGATTGTCCAGGCATACGTCAAAGACGTCAAATCGACGCTTCCTCGCCCCGAAAAGGAACTCCAAGCTTTCGGCAAAGTGTTCCTGCAGCCTGGTGAGACGAAGGATGTAGTCTTGACACTGGACAAGTACTCCGTGGGATACTTCGACACGAGTCTTGGTCAGAAAGGCGCCTGGATTGCAGAGGAGGGCGCGTTTGAGGTGTTGATTGGTGCCAGCAGCGCTGATATCAGGCAAGTCCGCCGTTCAATTGATTCATTCAAGCGAGATTACTAATGTGACGTCCAGGTCAAGAGTCGGCTTTGAGGTTACTGAGAGTTTCCAGTGGATCTTCTAATGAAGGATTGAGCGGAGGGTAAGGGGATGGACAACGAGCATCACGAGTCTTCTTATGTTGGTTGTTTTGAGGCGTTTGTGGTGGGGATGGGCGAGTGCGATTGAATTGGCTTCCCACCGAAGTCATATGCAGTGAATACATATTTCCGTGCTTCATGTCAGAAGAGACGCGGAAAACTTGGTCTAGGTTTGCGTGAACATATACCAAAGGCCAACGAAGGTGAAAGTGGCTTCGGCATGCGGCATCTCAGGTAAGGCTGACGGCCGAGTGGCTCGGCTAGATGACGCGCTGATTGATTTTCTGCCACCGCCTTGCGGGCCGACAGTTGTACCGATCTGTGGTCCCTGACGAGAACCTGTGTCGATAGCGGAAGCATCATCACCAGCCTGCCCTTTCGCTATTGTTCTTTTTGACTCGTTCGAGCCTGTCGCATACATCTCGACCGCCGTGCCATCTTCTGTCGACGCCCGAATCGCGCGACTTGGGCCCCCGTGCCAGCTCCAGCCGCGCTTTTGCTCCTGATCAACAGCGGGCGACCGAGTTCCAGTTACGAGCCACACCACGCCCAACAGACCCCCCTCGAAGAAACGAGCCTCCCATGAGCTCCAGCAGAGGCTAATCCGCTCAATACACGATAACGCGACTACCGAACCGGCCACGCAAGCTGCCTTATCGCCGGCACGCCTGGTAAAGCCGAGGACATGAATCCAGCGCATCGCGACGGGTGGCCGCCTGCACAAGCGGGCGCAGCTGGGCAGGGCCAGCAGCAAACAGAGCAGGGTCAAGGCCAGGCGCCACGGCCGCTGGGTCCCTATGGGTGCGTACTCGCCTCCCACTCACTGCCCACAGCAGACGGGCACCATGAGCGCAGACGCCTGCGAGCTCCTTTTCTCACCACCCTTCGATTGGATCCACGCTGACTTCGAGACCGATGACAGGCCAAACAGCGCGACGCCCCAGGGTCCCTCACATGCGTCACCCGCCCAGGGTCCGGGACCAGTACTCCCTCCACCATCTGGTACGTAGCACCGGCGGACGACGCGCCTGTTCGCATTGCTAACCCCGTCACAGGTGGCGGCTACTACTCGTCAAACGCCGCGACAGCCCACAACCAGAACCTCCCCACACTTCCCGGCCTGACGGCGCAACCTCAGCACTCGTCGCCCCACATGTCCGCCCAGCGACCGCCATCGTCCGACGCGGGCGCGCAAGCTCACCAAGGCCCGCAAGCCCCTCCGTACTCGTTGCCGGGCATCTCGCAAACCCTACAACAGCAGCAGCAGCAGCACATGCCGACTTCGGAGCAAGCCAACGCCGACAGAGAGCGCGAGATGCGCGATCGCGAAAACAGAGACAGAGAGATGGAGTCGCATGCCATGCACCAGCAAGAGGACATCGTCAAGCGCGAGGCGGAGCAGCGAGACCGCGACCTGCACGAGCGACAGCAGCGCGAGCACGCTGCGCACCAGAACCACTCAGGGCCGATCCAAATACACCAGCCAGTGGCAGTCGCACCCTCGACGCGAACCATCCACGGTCCCAACGGTCTGCTCGGCCAATCTGGACCCATGAACGGGCCAAACCCACTTGCGCCACCCATGGGTGGCCCCAACTCAGGCCCCATGTATGGAAATGCGCCCGCACAGCATGAGCAGACTACACCGCGCATGCAACACGCCGTACAGGCACCTACCCAGGCCCAGATGTTGATGCCTTTTGCTGGCCCTCCAGGATCAATGGCTATGGGCCAGGGACAGCAGCCCATCCTCAACGACGCCCTGAGCTATCTCGACCAGGTCAAAGTCCAGTTCGCCGACCACCCCGACGTGTACAACCGGTTCCTCGACATCATGAAGGATTTCAAGAGCGGTGCTATCGACACCCCAGGCGTCATCGAGAGGGTCTCGACTCTGTTTGCGGGCAATCCGGCCTTGATACAGGGGTTTAACACATTTCTGCCACCCGGCTACAAGATCGAGTGTGGCACCAACGGCGACCCAAACGCTATCAGAGTCACCACGCCCATGGGAACCATGGTATCGACTATGCCCGCTCCAAGGCCGCTTTCACCGCCACGCAGCGGTGCTGTCAATGGCAACAACGGCCCGCAACACGAGAGCACATACTACGAGACTACCCAAGGACGCCCATGGCCTCAACAGCAGAGAGCTCAAGGCCCTGAAGGTCAAGAATCGATGTTTTCACCCAACAACCGTACTCTCGGAGGGCCATTGTACGGTCCCCAAGGACAGCAGGGCCCAGCGCCTCATTCGCCAGAGGTCACATCGCGTCCTCATCCTGACCCTGCTGGAGCTGCAGCGCTAGCTCACCAGCAAGAGCAGAGAGGTGTTTCGCAGTTACAGAACGCGGTATCTGCAGCTACTGGCCGCTCAATGATGTCACCCAGCGTCGATCCGGGTGCCTCGTTACAAGGACAGGCAATGAACGGTGCTGCTCAGCTTCCACAGATGGGCGGAGCTGCAGCAGAGAAGAGAGGACCGGTTGAGTTCAACCATGCGATTAGCTACGTGAACAAGATCAAGGTACCATTCTTCACTGTGAGGTTGAAAACCAAAATGCTAATAGTACCCTAGAACCGATTCGCAGCTCACCCAGACATTTACAAAAACTTCCTGGAGATACTACAGACGTACCAGAGAGAGTCGAAACCCATTCAGGACGTATACGCCCAAGTCACTCACCTGTTTGGTGGCGCGCCAGATCTCCTGGAGGATTTCAAGCAGTTCCTTCCGGAGTCCGCTGCTCAACACAGAGCGCAACAGCAGGCCGCCAAGAACGCGGCTGAAGACGCAGTCATGCTCAGCAATGTTCGAGGTGAATCAGGATACGGAGCCGCTGCAAACCAACAAACGCCCGGACGCGCCGATACATCTCGATTGCCTCCGATGGGCAACTTCGCACCTACACCTACAGCGAACCGCGACAACAAGAGGAAGCGCGAACGACAAGGCCCTGTAGCTGCGCCGATGCCCGCGCCCATGTCGCAAGAAATGCCAACCTCGAACGTTCGAGGTGGATACAACCAGGGCAATGTCAACAAGGTACGTACATGATTCTACACTATAACGGGTAGGGTTAGGTCACGTTGTTTTTCTTTATAGAGGCACGTGCATCTCCATGGCTCTCTGCCCCAACCCTTTCAATTCTTTTCTTTGGTCAATTATATTTCCATCTCAACCCCACCAAATCACAATCATTGTCATCGAGACTATCATCATTATGTTTGATGGTGGGGTACTGTTTAGCTCTCCTCCCACCAGAGATGAAAATGGGCCTTCCTTCGAATGCAATAGAGCATCACAACAGATCATCAACTAACATGTTGAAGCGCGCAAAGACCGGACATGGCGCAAAGCAGGCAATTCCCGATGGCCCGCCAGTATCACCTACCCTCACTCCTGCGCTGCCTGAGCCAATGCCACCGACGACGACCACCACACCCAGCCAGGATGAGCTTGCTTTCTTTGACCGCGTCAAGAAGTTCATTGGAAACAAGAACACGATGAACGAGTTCTTGAAGCTCTGCAACCTCTACTCGCAAGATTTAATTGACAAGCAGCTGCTACTGTCTCGCGCCGGATCTTTCATCGGCGGAAATCAGGAACTCTATGCTTGGTTCAAGAAGTTCATGGGCGAGGACGAAGAGCAGCAAAAGTACCGCCCTAAGACTGTCAACTCGCGTGTCTCATTATCGAACTGCCGAAGTCTTGGTCCTAGCTATCGCTTGCTCCCAAGGCGCGAACGAGAACGCGTGTGTAGTGGACGCGACGAGCTCTGCAGATCTGTTCTGAACGACGAGTGGGCATCTCACCCGACCTGGGCCTCCGAGGATTCTGGTTTCGTTGCCCATCGCAAGAACACTTTCGAGGAGGGCTTGCACAGAATCGAGGAAGAGCGCCATGACTATGACTTCAACATCGAGGCCTGCAGCCGCACGATCCAACAGTTGGAGCCTATCGCCAACCAGCTGCTCACAATGAAGCCAGAGGACAGGCAGGGATTCACATTGCCACCTGGACTTGGTGGACAGAGTGAGACGATCTACAAACGTGTCATTATGAAGATCTACGGCCGTGACAGGGGAAAGGACGTGATCAAAGAACTGTTCCAAATGCCCTGGAGCGTCGTTCCCGTACTTCTCCACCGCTTGAAGACCAAACTCGAGGATTGGAAGGCCGCCCAGCGTGAATGGGAGAAGGTCTGGCGCGATCAGACCCAAAAGATCTTCTGGAAATCGCTGGATCACCAGAGCATCACCGTCAAGCAGGCCGACAAGCGGCAGTTCCAGCCCAAGTCCCTCACGAACGAGATCCAGGTCAGATACGAGGAGCAGAAGCGCCTCCAGCAGATTCAAGAGATATCGCAGCCGGACTACCAGTTTGCCTTTTCCTTCGGGGATGAAGAGGTACTCTTCGACGTTGCTCGATTGATGCTCACATTTGCGGACAACAACAACAACAGTGCCGACTTTGCAAAGGTCGTACCCTTTATCAAGGAATTCGTTCCTCTCTTCTTTGGCATCGATTCTGCCAAGTTCGAGCAGCGGGTACAAACCTCGCCACGCGATACGCCAAATGATTCTGGCGAGGACACGCCCTCTCCGGACGATGATGTTTCCCAACGCTCGCAGAAAATGAAGAAGGGGGACCTCCGTCGCAATGTTCTCGACCCCAACAACAAGTCACGAAAGGACAAGGAAGACAGTGTTGCGTCGGCGAGCCGTGACAGTACTCCGGATGCATCCGCTATGGACGAGGAGGCTGCTGGTGACAGCTCAAACTCCAATCCTCGCGCAGATCGGCCAGAGAGGCAATGGGTAGAATATACCGATGCTCCCACGCCTTTCGGCGACAGAGAGTTCGAACACGAAGAACCCTACCAACGTGTAGAGTACAACATGTACTCCAACGCTTCAATCTACTGCTTCTTCCGCATGTTCGTCATGCTCTACGAGAGGCTGTTGAAGCTCAAGGATAGCGAAGAGGAGGTTCGAGAAGTCATCGCGCGCGCCAAGGAGCCAAAGGCAGCGCAGAAGCTCAAGATGCTCGACAAGCAGCCAGACGACTTCTTCAAGGACACATCACCATCAGCAAACTACTACCAACAGCTTCTCGAAATGTTCCAGGATCAAATCTCTGGCGAAGTCGAGATGAACTTTATCGAGGAGACTTTACGAAGGTACTATTTGCAGATTGGGTGGCAGTTGTACTCGTTCGACAGGCTCCTGAGCTCGCTCGTTCGCTTCGCACTTGCTGTTGTTAGCCATGATAACAAGGATAAGAGCCTTGATATCTACAACCTGTTCAGGAAGGACCGCGTCAACGATACCACAACTCACAAGAACGAGATTAGCTATCGCAAGGCTGTGGAGAAGCTCGCCAAGGACGCTGACACCTACCGCATCACCTACGTAAGTCAACACCACCTCCCTCTTATAGATCATGTATTAATGTTTCTACAGAACCCCGCCAAGATGTGGGCGCACGTGCGTCTTTTCAAGAAGGACGACCCGACCTTTGATTTCACCACGCTCGACCGGATCAAGCGCTGGCGAGCATACGTCGCCTCGTACATGGCCGTGGAACCCACCGAAGAAGTCGACCTCTCCCGTGTCAACTACCCATACCTCAAGAAGCGTCTCGCTCGAGCCGAAGATCTCACCGAGGAAGAACGCTTCGACCACGTCAAGCACAGCGACAAGATCACCGTGTCCATCAGCCCCGCCGCTTACATCATGACCTTCATCAACAGCGAACCTTTCGGCACAGGTGGCGTTCAATACTTCCTGCAACCAGACGCCGTGCGCGCGGGTCTCAGCGAGGCCGTCCCCAACCCAGCTGAAGAGTACAAGAAGCTCAACGACGAGCGAAGAGAGAGGGTCCAAGACATTCTCGTCAGGAACAACACCTGGATGAAGGATCTTAGCCGGGATGATGTAGACGCGAAGAAGGCGGCGTTCAAGAAGGATCTTGAAGAGCCCAGGAAGGTGGCTGATAATGAAGATGTGGACATGGACGGCGCAGATGGTCTTGACTAGGCGCTTTATCCTTTTGTTCGCAAAGACTATGCGGCTGAGTGATTGGCAACGCATGTTCTTGCGTCTCTGGCGTTCTTTTGTGTGGTGTGGCGGGATTTGGATGTCAGAATGCGAATGGACGAAAAGGCCTGGTTCTCTACGGATTCCTTCTGGCTTCGATTCAGTTTTGCATGTTTCCCGCGTTCACGCGTTTGGAAGGGATGGCTGGGTGGGTGGCATGTGTGCAGCACAAGGCGTGCCTTTGCACAGCACGACTATGAGGGGGGGTTTCTTTTCTTTCCCTCTCCCTCTCTCTTTCTTCGAGATGGGCGCTGGTGGCGTTTGTTAAGGATATGATAACCCGACTCGACTCTTCGTTCCCATCTATATCCAGTTTTTTTGTGTGGTTTAGTAGGATTGCGAATTCTATTTTCATTTTTTGAAGCTTGCTTTCTGGTTGTTGTGTGAAGATACTTGACGTGAGTATGAGGTAGCTGGGGAGTATGCTTGTATACCAAGTATATACATTGTGCTATTACATCGCGTTGTGCCTGCATCTTAACACGTGATTTGTTTACAAGAGGAGATAGCTCAAAGCCCCAATCGCAGCCATCAGGCATGTTAGACCCCCGACGAGCAGTTGCTGGGCGGCACTTTCATCTACAGGGCAACTGATCTCTGGCTCTGGAGCCCTTCCAGCCTCAACCCACATTAGATTCTCATCCGAACAGAGACTTGCCGTCAAGGCCACCGCCATGCTTGTCGCGCTTGCAGCGTCAATCTTGACCTGGCAAGGCGTTGGGGTGACGGTTGAATTGTCCAGGACTGCGCACTGTTCGCCCACGCCGTAGGAGCCTCCGGTAACTTTCGTAGTATCAACGACGTTGAAAGCTATACCCTGATCTCCAGGACAACTCTGGTCTTTTGTTGCGTCGACAAGATCAATACCATGCGCAGTCTTCTTCGTGGTGAACGTAACGCCTGAGGTTTGCGAGTGGCCCTTTTGATAATATATCTCCCGAAAAGGATCGTATGTACAATTAGACCAGATCAGATTCCAGACTAAGCTCCATTTGCCCTCCGTGTTGAACTCGGTGTAGTGACGATATACGAGCTCCGGGCCGGAACTCGACGTGTTTGTCCAGTTGAGCGTACTCCTCTTATAGTAGTCGCCGAAGCTTCCCTGGTCGACCTTTGAGCCGTTTGTCATATTCCAGACTTCGAATCCGAGCCGCAAACTAAGCAATGTTGCGAGTTCGGGGTTCTGAACGGCAAAGACGATGGGGAAATATGGCGCTGGCGCGTATGTGTCGTTGCGCGGGAAGACTAGGTCTACTTCCACAATGCCTGAGGTATCGCTGGCAGCCGCATCAACAGCTCCAAGCAAGGAAACGAACAACCAGGTGATACAATTAAGAACACGCATTCTGGGGGCCAGAGACGGCCGGAAGGCTGCCGGAAAAATGAAATTGAAGAAGAAATCCTAGCAAAGACCCGTTAAGTAATTCAATGAAGTCGGGAAGCCACAGTACAAAGGAAGAAACTGGTCCAAGGGAACGACATTTGTATTAGGTATTGGAAGGATTAACGGATGATAGGAACAAACCCGGACAAAGCTCTATACCTAGTATAACGATAAACGTGCGGTCGGGTACAATAGTCCAAGTTTGGGACAGGATTGGATGTAGCTCGCCAGGGGCAAGGACCTACTTAGGTGCGGCACGGGTTCCAAAAGGGTAGGCTAGCGGGGGTCGATGCCGTGAGAGCCGCATCGCCGCATTCTTTTGGACATTGCGCTGGAGCCTGAGGGTTTTTTCGTGAGTAGTTTTGGTTATGTACGTCCGGGGTTTGGATAGTCGGAAACGATGGGTTGCCAAGTTCCCAGGTTGTGTGAAGTGGTTGTCAGGTGATTCTTGGCATACCCACATATTGCCTTGCTTCCCATAGTGGTTAGCTTATGCATATGCTGCATCGATTGCAGTGGCCGTCTCTGTGCTCAGTAATGTCAGCGAGGGATAGATCGGCAGTTTTATAATGGTGATCGGGACGAACGTTCTCTTCCTGCTCTCCTCAATCACATCTTTCCAAGTTTGAAAATGTAGTGATACGGCATAGCGCGGTACGAAGCCGAATATCTGAGTTTCATGCTATTTCTCACTTTAATCACTCTGCAGAACTGAATGTGGAAGATCTTTGTTTCTGTCAATTGCAACTGCGTAAGACGTTCCAACATCTGCTTCTCTTAACAGTACCTAGGTAGTTCTCAGACTTGAGTGCATTCCTCGCAATGCCATTCATTATGGTAATTCACAGCCCCGCAGTCCTTACAGATCCAGCCTTGATTTGACATGCTGGGGATTATCGCTTCGGATTCTTGTTGACTCAAGTGTACTTCGTTGTTGGGTTCAATGCGGTCTCGTTGCTGGAGGTAGGCTTGATGTGACTGGGAAAATGTATGTGTGCGTTGCGGTTTACTATAACACAGTCAGCATCCGGAGTAATAGCAAGAGACTGCCTAGGTTGGGGTCAGCTACGTAGCGTTTTGTGGAGTCGTTGTTGATGCGTCAGCAACAGACGTCCTCGGGGGGCTTATATATCAAATCGTCTCCAGCATCGTTTGCTAGTCCTTCCCTGAAGAGCACATTCCAACCCGCGTAACTCGACTTCACGCTACGATCCTAATTTGTGACTTGGGGGATCGGACATAGACTAAATCCTCCCATGAATCACGTACCAGTAGTTCAAATCCCTACTCTGACTTCTTGAATCCCTTATACTATCGTAGGTGATAAATAGATCCGACATGCATGATCCAAAACCTGTATCGCTATAATTCCCGTCATTTCTCTAACATACATCCCTGGCTCGTCAGAACGTTCTAAATTGTAATGTCCACAGACGCGCGTCTAGCAGCTCTCGAGGCTCTCGCCCGTGAAAACCAAGAAAAGGTCGAAGAACTAAACCACAAGAACTGGCTACTCAGCAACCAAAACATCAAGATGCAAGAAGAACTCGCCAAGTTGGAAGAAGATGTACGCAACGTATATCCCGACTTCGATACTAGGCGTATCGACCAGTCAAGCTTTGAGGCCAATACATCGCCACCTCTTCATGATCCATCCGTCGCTAGGAATGTCTCTCACGCTCGCCCACAGCTACTTGAGCGTCCACCACCAGGACCGTTGTGGACACCATTCTACATGACCGCCCGCGACGCCCCACGACTATATCTAGAGTTCGTGATACCAGGATCCAAAGGCGAGACGTTGGGGATAGCTGTAAACAACGTAGATCTGGCCTTCATACTGCAGCAGACGTTGCGACGGAGAGGGTGGGGCGAAGTGACGACGAAGAGGGGTGTCGAGGATTTCCTGGAGCAGCCGATGATGAAGGTAACTTGGACGGGCAGAGAGGGAGAGTTTGGGAATCTGACCTAGTCGCGCGAAGAGGCTGGGTTGTAATGTATCTTCATTTGAGAAATAGAGTCTATGAAGAAGGGGTACTTGGTATCTCAACGCCGACCCATGCATATTAGAATGCTCATGTTCAATCGTCTTTGTGCTTTTCGTCAAAAGCGAGCATGAGGCCCATGGCCCGCTCGTATGTCCACATTGTAACAGCGCTGGCTGGCGCAGCTTTCAGAAGACTGACCGTCAACCCACGGTACATTCCCCGTCTGCCTTCGTGCTTCCATATATGCGTAATGGTACTGATGACGCCGGTATATGTCGGTATGTTCCGATGAACGTATCGCTCGCGCATCGGCCCTTGGACTTGTAGTCGCTTGCGCGTGGTATCGAGCGGGTAGACGGCGGTTTTTGAGAGAACGCTCGCGATGACACCGGCGACGGCATCCGAGCTCCCGAGTGGCAGTGGTACGGGAGAAGAGGCGGTTATGGGCTTCAAGCTTTCGTAGCTGGCGAAGAAGAGGCCCATGTACGGCACAATCTGGCTCACGCCTGCGCCGAGGCCGCGAAAGAAGCCCCTGGGTCCTTCATGCTGCGCGATGTGCTTGACAGACGCGATGATGGAGGTATAGACGCGATCTTTGCCTTGCGCAGCGAACCGCGTGCGAAGAAGATCGAGCGGGTATGTCGCTGTCGTCGCAGCGGCACCCGCGCTGGCTCCACTGAGGAAGTTTGCGACTGAGCTGGGAAGCGTATATGGCGGCGGAATGGTCTCTAGCCAATGCGATATGTACGTGTAGGCAGAGAACTGGGCGCTACCGTACGTCAAGTACATGAGCTCCGCCGGTATGTTGCCCTTCCATAGCCCCGTAACACCCTCTTCGCGAAGAATCTGTTTGAGGGTGCCCAATGTTCCTTTGTAGACGGGCCCTTGAACGTTGCGAACGCTGAACGGGTCGGAGAGCGAGTGGATTTGGAGTTGCAGGCGGATCTTTATGACGTCGAGGGGAGCTATCACGAAGCTGTCGCAATGTCAGCCATGTGCGCGAACAAGGGAGATTGAACATACCGCGACACCAGGCCTGCCGCCGCACCTGCGACGACAACTTGTCGCTGGGAGCCCTATCAGCCATATTAGCCCTGCCTCTGCCAGCATATCGTGTCGGTAAACGGTGAAGATAGACAAGCTCCTACCTCATGCTTCAGCTGTGCGACACCCTCAGACATGCGCCCAGCGCGTCGATTGAGACACGTGCTATGTGTCCGCGCGTAATTAGCTACCCACCGCCGATGCTCGGTAGGACACCTGTAATTGCAAACGTGCCGGGCAAAGGGTAGTAGAGACCTCGGTTTACGGGTTGATTGTTTCCACCACGCTCGCTCCCTGACGTTGAAAAGCAAGGAACCCCGCCGTGTCCCGTCACTGCCAACAGCTGCGGCCGACCATGTCTTTCACCATCACCACCAGAATACCGCTACGGAGTCTGAGATCGCAAGTCACCACTTCTCGCAGGATTGCTATTGCTGTTCAGAGACGGCGTTTCTTCTTCAACTCGTTCTGGCGATCACCTAAGCCGGCCGAGCATGCTGATTGGAGCCCCGCTACACATGGCCCTTTTCGGCCAACCAAACGCCAGGAACAGCTGCAACAGCAACAGGAACAAGAGCTGAGACAAACGAAAGAGCAGGAACTTCTCGTTCATGATGAATCCAACATTGGCCAGCTTGACGGTAGCCCAGCGAAGAGAATCGCGGTGAACATCGATGGAGAGCCCAAGATCTTCGACGCTGCGTTCCTTCGTGACAGCTGCACGTGTACCCAATGTATGGACCCTGACAGCAAGAACAAGCGCTTCCAGACCTCGGACATACCAGAAGATTTAGAGGGTAGCTGCAAGACAGTGGTTGATGAAGAGAAAGGAGTCTCTATCGAGCTTCAATGGAAGACAGACGTCAAAGGCTTCGGTCCGGAGCACCGCACACGACATTCGATCGACTGGCTACGCCGCGCATTCAACACAGAGATTGAGCTGCGTGGCGGAGTGCGACACGATGACAGAGTGTTCTGGGACAAGAACAGGATCGTAAAAGACAACAAATGGCTCGACTACGACACCTACATGTCCAAAGACGAAACCCTCTTCGAAGCCCTCACCCATTTGAACCGCTACGGCCTCCTCTTCATCAAAAACGTACCCGAATCTGAGGAAGCCGTCGTAGCGCTCGCCTCCCGTATCGGTACTCTCAAAGATACTTTCTACGGCCGAACGTGGGACGTCCGCTCAAAACCCAAAGCCGAAAACATAGCCTACACGCCCGACTACCTCGGTCTCCACATGGACTTGCTATACACATCCAACCCCCCGCATCTGCAACTCTTGCACTCTCTCCGAGCCCGCACACCAGGTGGTGAATCCTTCTTCTCTGATTCCTTCGCCGCAGCACACCAACTCCGGCGGCAATCCGAGGGCCACTTCAGAACGCTATGTACCTTCCCCGTAACATACCACTACCACCACCCGACCTACCATTACCACTTCACCCGTCCGGTGATCGAGACATTCGCCTATCCTAATTACAGCGACCCCGCCAACCTCGCCATCCGCCGCATAAACTGGTCCCCGCCTTTCCAGGGTCCCTTCGAAGCGCGTATCGGCAGCGGCAGTTCCACGTCGCTTCGCTCCTTTATTGCTGCCTCGCATGCATACGAGAAGTTGCTCAGTGCGGAGGAGAATCTGTATGAGTATAGGTTGAATGAGGGGGAGTGTGTCATCTTCGATAACAGGCGGGTGTTGCATGCTAGGAAGGCTTTCGATGCTACAAAGGGTGAGCGGTGGCTGAAGGGGGCGTACGTGGATGACGATGTTTTCTTCAGTAAGCTGAGGGTGCTGGAAGAGAAGTTTGAGGGGAAATGGGTCGCTGAGGGTGTGGTCAGGCATGCCGTGAAATGAAGGTGGGGGTGTTCAGTAGTTTAGGTTACGCAGTATGGATATGGCTGTGCTTCGGAACTTGGGCCTCTTGTTGGAATCAGTCAATTGTCAGCATGCGTGGAAGCTAACACCCATGCCCCTTGCGCTACAGCAAACATTCCAGTCCCGAAAGCTGTGAAGACGGACTTTGGGTAGCCTTTGGTTACCATCTGACTCCAATGCATAGTCAGTATCAAGACGGCGTTATGACGTAATAAGAACCCTTCTTTGCGATTCCTGGATAACGTGATCCTGAGCATGACCGATGATGCTTCCCACCACGGTACTCTAATCAATATTTAGCACGAGTGATTTCCAGGTCAACACCCTCGTCCAGACCGCTCTGTACCCGCTTTCCAATACTCATCACTGCCTGTTCCAATCTCGTCGGGTCGAAATCCCCGCAGCCCACATGCAGATGTACAGACCGCACTGCTGAGAAAACTTGCGACAATGAGTCAAGCCTGCACTCATGCAGATCCGCAACGAGGCTCTCAGCTTCTCTTAAATAGAACGTTATGCGAACCGTGCAGATGATCTGACGTTCCGTTGCATCAAGCCCCAGCATGAGGGTGTGGTATGACTTGAGAAAATGGGGGAAGCAGAATGTGTTGAGCGAAAAGGGAAGGAGCTTTGCTTCGTCGTAGACCTTGCGGCAGACGCGCAGGAGAGCGAGGTCATTTCGATGCGTGTATGTGGCTTTGAAGGAATATACCGAAAGGGCGTACGTGCGTTGGCCGAGGAGGTGTTCGTAGATGTGGTTTCTGATTTCTCCGGGTAGGCGCAAAAGTGGGGACTCGGCAGTGTTGCGCATGTATCTGTTGATGTTAGCTTGGCATAGTGAATGGCTCTTACACACCTGCGGTGCAGTGTTTCGAAACTTACATGAGCAAGCGTGTGTCGGTCGTGCGTTCCATATCCGTCATTGTTGGCTACTCAGATTGTCGAAGTAGTATAGCACGGGGAAAGACGTGGGAAGCAAAAGGTAATTCACACGACCAGGACTACTAAGAGAGAAGGCCAGGGTCTATTACGCTAGCCTCAAGTAGGCCGCTCGCTCACCTGCCCCAGCTGCCGCTCACGGTGTTTCCCGAGCTGTAAGTCCGGAAGTCACGCTGAAGTAACGAGCAAGTGTCCGCGCCTTGAGATCGCATCATCTGGACGTGTGCAACGAGATCAGTCTACGACAATATCCGAACATGTTAACTCAGCCACCCAAATACATCCTGCTTCTTCTTCCCATCCCCATCATCGACAGCTATAGTTTGCCTCATTCAGCACTGGACAGCCATAGCTACGACACCACGGTAATAGTCGCACCGGTCAAATAAAGCCTGAGTGTTCCCAAAAGCGCTCGAAGCTCCGTAGACTGCCAAAATCTTTGTGCTTGATCTTCATTTGATATCCGTGGCTTTTCAACAAAAACAGTTCGTAATCCGCGCAGCCCGCCCAGATAAAAAGACTCGCAAATGATTTCCGGCTGCCCACTCAAGTACCACGGCAGAGTGTATTCCCATGCGTTGAGCTGTACAGTTTGGATTTCATCGAGCTGTGAGGAGGAGAGCCGCATTTTGAACAACTGAAACTCGAGGAGAGAGTTGAATGACCAGAGATTCAGTCCGAGATTTGGTAACTTGGCAGTCTCATGATAGGTTTGAATGCAAGTGAGTAGTAGACTGAGCGGATTTCCGTTGACACGACCGTCGCCCTGGATCTTGTAGACACGGCCGCTTAGTACGTATCTAATGAAGGCACAAGATGTTAGCACAGGTCGTTTGTATTGTTATGAGTAGGGATCTCCGCACCCGTAGATTTGGTTCCGTAGCTCAGCTGGAAGACGCAGAAGGGGTGACGAGTTGGCGTTGCGCGAAGTACTGGAAGGATCGGTTAGCTGGCAGATAGACAGACAAGACAGTGTTGTGTTACACGTCAGAGCCGCGACTCCCAGGCTCCGCCATTACGAGGTTTTGAGTTTCCTTCGTAGTAGCGAGGAGATTGGGGGAATCGGTAAAGGTGTTGAGCAATTCGAGGTCTCCTAACAGAGATAGTGTGGTCGAGGAG